GTCTTGGGAGCCTCTCGGGCCGTCTTGAGGCTGTCTTCAGGGCTTGATGAGCCGTCGTGGGCCATCTAGAGTTGTTTTGGTGTCGTCTTGACAGTCTACGATGCCGTCCTGGAGGTCAGACTGGTTGTTTGGAGGCCGAGGAGGCCGCTGGAACACAATTTCAGAGGGGACGATTTTCGAACGATGTGTGGGCGAGGGGGGTGGGTGCGCGGCCCTATCAAATATTCGAGAACTTCAGGCAACAGACGAGTATTCTAACACGCCCATCATGCAGGCACGGTGGCGGACATTTAGATTCAATTTTCGCAGCGCCGCGCGGATTTCTCCAGTCGGCGCTGGGTCCCTCTCCTTGGCGCGCGGGGCGCGGCGCCGGAGGCGCCGTGCAGTGGTACCGTGGGTGCCATGCGCAGCGCAGTGGCGCTAGCTGGTTGCGATTTGGCGCCGTGCAGTGGTGCCGTGCGGTGCCGCCATGCGCAGTGCACCCTCGGCCCCCGGCGGCGCCATGGCGTGCGGCGCCCTGTGTCGCTGCATGGCGCCAGGCCATATCATGCCAGGAAGTGGTGTGTGTGTGTGTGGTGAAACGGGATGGGGCAGAAGGAGGAGGAGGAGGAGGAGGAGGAGGAGGAGGAGGAGGAGGAGGAGAGAGGAGGAGGAGGAGGAGGAGGAGGAGGAGGAGGAGGAGGAGGAGGAGGAGGGAGGAGGAGGAGGAGGAGGAGGAGGAGGAGGAGGAGGAGAGGAGGAGGAGGAGGAGGGGAGGAGGAGGAGGAGGAGGAGGAGGAGGAGGAGAGGAGAGGAGGAGGAGGAGGAGGAAGGAGAAGAAGGAGGAGCAGGGTCAGGAGGAGGAGGAGGAGGAGGAGGAGGAGGAGGAGGAGGAGAGGAGGAGGAGGAGGAGGAGGAGGAGGAGGAGGAGGAGGAGGAGGAGGAGGAGGAGGAGGAGGAGGGAGGAGGAGGAGGAGGAGGAGGAGGAGGAGGAGGAGGAGGAGGAGGAGGAGACACGGGCACTCTTTGGGGGCCCTCTTGGAGGGCCGTCAGAGCCTTCTGATTTGGCGGCCATGCGGGAGGCTGTCGGACAACGAAAAGGGTGAGTCCCACCCCTGGAGAGTGCGAGCAGCCTTGCTCTCTCGCAGTGCTGTCGCCTTTGTGCCCAGACGCCCTTCCAGGAGGACGAGGAGGGGGATGCCGCCCTTCACGTTCACTGCCTTATGCGCCTGTGACGGGCCCGCCTAGGCAGTCCTCGTCGTCATCGGGGCCGGAGTTGGCCCCGTCGGGACTGTGTCCAGGAAGAGCTGTGGTGGCGATCGTGAAAGGTATTTCGGCCGTAGTGGGGTATATATTTTTCTACGCTCGCAAGCAAGTGGAGGGGTCGTCAGACAGTCATCAGGACTGCCCTCCAGCCTTTGTCTTCCCACCGCCGTGCAGGGCAACGTTCCAACACCTGCCCAATCTGGCTCAAGACCCGGGCTCAAGCCTAGGGCCCTGGCGCGCGTACCGAGCCACCCCGAACCGAATGCCGTAAATCGAAGCTTGTCGCCCCCGCGCGCTGGGGGCAGCCGTCGGTCCCCGTGACAGGCCGTGCCCGCGGCCAGCGCTGGACCGAAGGTCCTTTGCGGCCCCCGGCCCGAGAGGCCCATGGCCGCGAAGGACATTGGCAGACTCCGGCTGCTGCGACGCTACGCCTGTTCCGTGGTAGGATACAACTGGCTTGTCGCCGCCACGGTGTTGCCCCTTGCGCTGCTCGTGGTCGCACCGCTGGCCGCCGCGAGGAGGGGCTCCGCCTCCCGCCCACCCGTGCCAGTGGGGGCTCTGTTCGGCGCGGGCTTCGTCCTGTTCGAGGCCACGTCCTTCTGCGCCGAGCGCAGCTGGTCCCGGGTCGCCTGCTGGCGCTTCTGGTCGCTCGCCGCGCCCGTCTGCGTGGCGCAGGCCCTGCTCTGCCTGAAAGTCTGCCGCCACGACGCGCTGGGCTGCCTGCTCCTCTCGGCTACCTGCCTCGGGCTGAGGGAGGCGCTGTTCGAGGCGCTGCACGCGGGCGCGAGCATGGTGGGGCGCGAGGCGAAGGACCTCCTCTTCCTCCTCCTCCTCCTCCTCCTCCTCCTCCTTCCTTCCTCCTCCTTCTCCTCCTCCTCCTCCTCCTCCTCCTCCTCCTCCCTCCTTCCTCCCTCCTCCTCATCCTCCTCCCCCCTCCTCCTCTCCTCCCTCCCCCTCCTCCTCCTCCTCCTCCTCCTCCTCCTCCTCCTCCTCCTCCTCCTCCTCCTTCTCTTCCTCCTCCTCCTGCGGAGGAGCGAGCCACGGCCGCGCTCATGGGCGGCTTCGCCTACAGCGCCTCGCTCACGCTCCTCTGCGGCGCGACGCTGGCCCTGGTGCTCGTGGCGCAGCGCGGCGTGGCGGCCCACGGGGGCCTCACCGTCCCCACCGTCTTCCTGGCCACGGTGCTCGGGGGCGGCCAAGAGGGGGGTGATGACTAGGGGGGGGCCGGATATCATGGCGTGGGCCATGATATTCCCCCAGACTTTATATGGCGCCTCCTCTTATTTCATTGCGTTCCCTGGCCCACCGCTGGGCCGCGCACACGCCTCGGGCCATGATTTGCACCCCCCCTCTTGGACGCCCCCCTCTTGGCCGCTCCCGAGGTGCTGCCCCTGGCAAGGACCCTCGCGCGCATGCTCCTGGCGCAGGCGGCCGGCGGCAGCTCCAGCGACCTCCTGCCGGACCTCTCCGGCGGGCGGGGCTCCTCCCTCGACACGCTGGTGCTGCACTCCGACCTCGTCTTCGCGCTGGCGATGTTCCTCGAGGTCCCGTACACATTTATACTGCTGGCCGCCCCCATGAGGGGGTTGTTCTGGACCGCGGCGGCGACCGGCGCGGCGCTGGACGCCGGCGTCACCCCAACATATTAATACTATGTGTTCGTTGCCCCCCCAGGGGCGACGCCAGCACCGAGAAATCTTCTAGTGTATGCGTCGTGGCGGGCGCTTTCTGGCCACAGCGCTCGGGAGGCGATCTAGTACAAGATGGGTCTACTATATGTTCGGGTCGGACGCGCGCCTCCGAGGAGGATATACATATATGCGCATCTATATGCATATACACATGTATACACATACATATCGTACTCGCTTGTTCCTGTGCGTCCAAGGACGTGCTCTTCGCCTACACGCTGGACGCGCTGCAGAGGCGGCGGCTGCACCTCCCCACGAAGCCGGCGGAGGCCGAGCACTGGTCGCCGAGCTTCTGCCCTGACCGCCCCGTCGGCTTGGTGGCGGCTCTCCTCGGCGGGCTGCCGCCGGCGCCGCCCGAGCCAGAGGCAGAGCCCCTGCTGCCCCGGGCCCAGGACCTCGGGTCTCAAGCAGTGGCGGAGCGTCCTGGCGTGCGTGTAGTCCTACCAAACAATGTTCTAAGAACCTTTTGTGGTTCCCACGAAATGATCCTAGAACATTTCTGGTTGGGACTGTCTTGTTCTATCACTCATCGGGTATCTGTTCTAAGAACATGTTGGGTTCTCAGAACATTTTTCGTGGAAGGGCTAGAGGAATGCCGAGACGGTCGGTCCCTGCTCAAAGGTCGGCGACTGCGCAGGTCGGCCACGCGCAGAGGGGGGTGCGGGGGAGGGGGGAAGGCTTCTTAGAAGCACCCCTGCTTCTGAGAAGGCGCGGGCGCCTCCTAAGAAGCAGCCTTCTTCGAAGGAGCCTTCCCCCCTCCTCCTGCCCCCCTTCTGCGCGCCGCCAAACAGTTCCACTCTAGGTCTCCCAGATGGGGTCGGACTAGAGGGGGTCGGAGGATCGCGCCGCATCGCCGATGCAGCGGCGATGCATCGGCGATGCGGCTCGACGTGGGGCCCAATTATCTCCACGCCGTCGTCGCCGATGCATGGCCGACGCCGCAAGCGCATCGCCGATGCATCGGCGATGCGGCGCGATCCTCCGCCCCCATCTACTCGGACCCTATCCAAGAGGCCTCTATGCAACGTTCCACCGCCAGAATATGTTCATATCCACTGCCGCGGGGTCGTGGCCTGGGATCTCCAGGAGTGGTGGATGTGGATATCTACGCGCCCGCGTGGGCGGGCAGATATCCATATCTACTGCTCTCCGAGACCCCAGGGCACGATCCCGCTGTACATAGTGGATATGGACATCTTCTGGCGGCGCGAAAGCACGACGGGTGAGGGTACGCCGGGGTGTGGTTTACGATCGGCATCGTTGGGGCCTTCAGGGGCACGACACGATCCTCGTCGGGCCTCCCCGGGACTCGGCGGAGAGCTCTGTCGAGGTCTTCGCCCGCACCCCAGGGTGCCCCCCAGGGTGCGGGTTGCAAGCCACACCCTTTGCAAACCACACTCTTCGGAGCCGCCGAGAGATGGTACCGACACCGCTGCCTTTCCTGGCGTTTTCGCCCTCTCTGGGGCCTCCTGGGAGGCCCTCGCCGCCACGGGTGGACTCGCCTCGAAGTTCTTCGTTGCGTGATCTCCGACCCCGACGCAAGTATGCGGGTCGGTTTCGGAGATCGCCGCGGCCATCGTGGCGGCCACACATTGGGGCAATGTGGTTGTCAGGGAGTCGCATGCCCCTTCCTACCCCCCTCCGCTCTGCGCTGCAGACGAGGCCCATACTTGGCAACGCAGCGACGGGGAGGTGCTGGTGGATGGCCCGCGTGGACCGTCACGTCTTGTGGGTCAGGGGTCGCTGGCCACGCAGCCCGTTCTGGTAAGGACGCACCCGGGGAGAGGTTCCGCAGCGAGCCCGCGGTGTCGGCACCCCGTCGCTCAGGAGGGAAAGAAACACACAGACACAATTAATCATCGATTCCCCAGAAGATATGGGAAAATATGGGAAGTGGGGGGGGAAGACAAAAACCCAGAAGATATGGGAAAATATGGGGAATCTTTTCATTCGTGTGTGTGTGTTTATTTGTGTGTCCCAGGGCCCCTTCGGTGGCTCTCCCAGGACCGCGCCTCGACGTGGGCCGCGGGCCCGCCGGGCGCGGCGCCCGCGGCCGGCGGCGCGGCCGCGGGCGGCGAGCCCGTGGAGGAGCGGGCGCCCTCCCTGCCGGGCGGCGGCCCCATGAGCCCCCGGGTGTCGCTGCTGCTGGACGAGTACGACGAGGCTCTGCACGCCTGAAATGGGTACTGAAAGACTGGGTACAATGCCCAGCAGCAGTTCCCGTTCATTTTGAACAGGACTCGCTGTCCGCGCCGCCGCGGCCTGTGCCCATTTGAGGCAGAAGACCGCCTGCCCAACAGCGGCCGCTGTTGGTTCGGGACAACATTTGCTGTTGGGCATTGTGCCCATTGTTTCCGTGCCCATTTCGGGCGTCCAACGAGGCCCTGGTGGAGTGCCGGCGCAGGACGCCGGCGGCGCAGGCCGCGCGGGGCGGCCAGGCGGTGTACCTGCTCCAGGACCGCAAGGTCACCTTCCTGACGCACCTGCTCGTGAGCACGGTGGCGCTGGCGCTGGCCCTGCTCTTCGTGCCCGCGCTCGCGCTGCACCGGCTCCCGGGCAGGGAGCTGGCGGCGCGCGGGGCGGGGGCCGTGGTCCTCCGCATCTGCTCCGACACCGCCGCCTGCTGGACCCTGGAGCACACCTCGTCGGCCGTGCAGTACGACTCGCGCTCGGCGCTGTGGGAGAGCCGGCACGAGCTGGCGACCCTGCACGGGTGGAGCTTCCGCGCCCTGGCGAGCGTGTGCCCGCTCTTCGTGGTGTCCGTGGTCCTGTGAGCGCGGCGCTCCTCCTCCTCCTCCTCCTCCTCCTCCTCCTCCTCCTCCTCCTCCTTTTCTTTCTCCTCCTCCTCTCCCTCCTCCTCCTCCTCCTCCTCCTCCTCCTCCTCCTCCTCCTCCTCCTCCTCCTCGTCCTCGTCCTCGTCCTCCTCCTCCTCCTTTCCTCCTCCTCTCCTCTTCGCCGGCGGCGCGGGTGGGCCCAGGGCGAGATATAGCCTCGGGCCGGGGGGGGGGCGGGGCAGGACGCTCGAAAGCCTGGCTTGCCTTCACCTCCTGCCTCCCCCCCTCGACCTCCCGCCTCCTGGGTTCTGCCTCCGCGTCTTCGCGTCCGCCTCCACCCCGGCCTCCAGCGCCTCCACTCCTGCCTCCGCTTCTGTCCCCGCCTCTGCATCGTTCTTTCTCAGCTCTTCACTGCACGTATGCCCACACCCATACCTGCACCACTCTCGCAGCTCCTAGTGCTGCAAGCTTACTTGCTCCTTCCTTGTTCCCCAATCAGAGCTTGCCTCTGTAGGGGTCCTAGCGGATCTAAAGCTGAGGTGAGGTGGGCGGCCGATTTCGGTGGCCGGGGCCGGGTGCCCGGGTGCCTGGGGGTTCCCGGGGGTGCCCGGGTGCCCAGGTGTGTGGCCGATTTCGGTGGCCGGGGCCGGGTGCCCGGGTGCCCGGGGGTGCCCGGGGGTGCCCGGGGGTGCCCGGGTGCCCAGGGGTGCCCGGGTGCCCGGGGTGCCCAGAAGTGCCCGGGGGTGCCTAGCCCAATAGCCCTATATCCCTATAGCCCAATAGCCCAATCGCCATATATCCCTATAGCACTATAACCCTATAGCCCTATAGCCGTACCTATACGACCACCCTTCGGGTGATAAGGAGGTTCGGGGGGGGGAACCAACGTCTCACTCGATCGGTCTCACTATCGATCTCAGTATCGATCTCACTATCGGTCTCGCTCGATCGATCTCACTCGATCGATCTCACAATCGATCTCACTCGATCTATCTCATTCGATCGATCTCACAATTGATCTCACAATCGGTCTCACAATCGATCACACAATCGATCTCACATTCGGTCTCAATATCGATCTCACTATCGATATCACAATCGCTCTCACAATCAACGTCATCATCATCAACATCATCAACATCAACATCATCACCAACATCGTCATCATCATGAGGGCACCGTCATCATCATCATCATCATCATCATCATCATCATCATCATCATCATCATCATCATCATCATAAACATCATCATCAACGTCAGCACCATCATCGGGACAACATCATCAGCATCACCATCATCATCACATCGTCAACATCATCATCAACATCATCATCATCATCATCATCGGGACACAGTCATCGTCATCATCATCAGCATCATCAGAATCATCATCGTAATCGGGACACCATCATGATCACCATCGTTCTCATCATCAACATTATCATCATCATCATGCTCGGGACACCGTCATCACGATCATATCATCATCATCATCATCGACATCATCATCATCAACAACATCATCATTATTGGGGCACCATCGTCATCATGAACAACATCATCATCAACATCGTCATTATCATTATTATCATCACCCTGGACAGCATCCTCATCACCATCATCATCACCATCATCATCAGCATCATCATCGGGACACCATAATCATCAACATCATCATCATCAACATCTTCATCGCCGGGACACCATTTCCATCAACATCATCATCACCAACATCATCGGAATCAGCATCATCATCATCATCATCATCATCTTCATCATCATCATCATCATCATCATCATCATCATCATCATCATCGGGACACCATCATCGTCATCATCATCAACATAATCATCATGAGCATCGTCATCCTCATCATCGGGACACTATCATCATCATCGACACCATCATCAACATCATCATCATCATCTTCATCGGGACACCATCATCATCATCTCATCATCATCACCATCATCATCATCATCATCATCATCATCATCATCATCATCATCATCATCATCATCATCATCATCATCATCATCATCATCATCATCATCATCATCATCATCGCGGGACACCGCGGGACACCGGCGGGACACCGCGGGACACCGCGGGACACCGCGGGACACCGCGGGACACCGGCGGGACACCGCGGGGCCCCGCGCCCCGGATGAGAAACATTTGGTCCGGCCGCGCCTCAGCCACAGGAGGACACCGCGGGACACCGGCGGGACACCGCGGGGCCCCGCGCCCAGGAAGAGAAACATTTGGTCCGAGCGCGCCTCAGCCACAGGAGACTTTTTCTCGCCCGCCCACGCAGCTTCGCCTCGCACGCACGGCACGCACGAACACGAAACCGAGACCGATTTCCCGGTGGGGGGCTCGCCGTTCCACTTCGATCTCACCCCCTCACCTCCGATAGCCCCATAGCCCAATAGCCCAATAGCCCCATAGCCCCATAGCCCTATAGCCCTATAGCCCTAAAGCCCTATAGCCCTATAGCCATATGGTCCTAAAGCCCTACAGCCTATAGCCCCATAGCCCTAAAGGCTTCTAGCCCTATATCCCTATGGCCACATCGCCCTATAGCCCTATAGCCCCATAGCCCTAAAGCCCTAAAGCCCCATAGCCCCCCCCAAATTCTGATTGGGTTTTTCTCTGGTATCATATAGTTGTGCCCCGTCCACCTGCCCGAGGATGCACACTGTACCACAACAACTGTTTTTCAACATGTTTGTCAATTGGGCTGCTTTCTACCACCTTGGAGTCATCTTGGACACATGCTGGAGCCACCTAGTTTGAGTCAATCTGGAACCTATCAAGCTGCATGCGGTAAACCTCGACGCGGTGCCCGCGCAGCATCGGAATGCATGCGTTATAGCTCTGCCGAGCTGGCCCGAACAGGCTCAGTACAATCAGCTTGGTGCTGTCTGTTAAGCGTCGGTATGCCATTGTAGCCTGGCGAGACTGTAACGTTATGTTGTTGTTGTTGTTGGGCTGCCTCTGGGGGACTTTTCGGAGGCTTCTTGGAGCCTCTTGGGTCCCTCTCGGGGTGACCAGTGACCTCTTCGGGGCTGCTGGAAGACCTCTGGGGGCAGGTGGGGGTCTCGGGCCCGTCTTGTCCGCTTTGGTTCTCCCGAGCCCTCTCGAAGAGGCTCGCCGCAAAACAAAAATAAACGTGGGGCCGCCTCCTCGGGCCTCAAGGCCGTGTCGGCGCACTCTTGCGGCAGTCTCGGGCCAATCTTGGGGGGGCCCTCGGGCCGTCTTGGACTCCTGGAGGGGCCCAAGACGGCCCAACAGAGCTCCACAGCCATGGCCAAGAGCTCTGAGGGCCCCCCATGGGAAATACTGAAACGCGAAAAGTGCCTGAAGCCGCTTTCATGGCCGCGCTCATGAGGCTGCAACGGCGTTCTGGAACGTTACCTGGACTGCCAGACGGTATCGTAATACTCCAAGGGGCAGTGCTGCCCGAGGGGAGCCTCAGACCGCACAAAGACGGCCCCGATACCAAGATCGGCCTCGGGGACCGCCTGCGTGTGCTCCTGAGCGGCAGGGAGGAGGGACGTATGGCGGAGGAAGGAGCTGCGGTCCGGAACTTTGGCTTAGCGTTACGTGTCACGCTCCGCGGCTTCCGACCCCACTGCTCTTCGGCCCGACACGCCATCCACTTCCTGGTCCCCTTGCGTCAACGTCCTAAGCTTTCTCGAGCTTCCCGCCCTGCGGAGCGGAGCGATACGCTATCCGCTTTCAGGGGATAGCGTGTCGCCGGGGCCGCCGCCGCGACACGCTAAGCAAAAGTTCCCGACTGTAGCTAAGCTGTTCCTTAGATCTTTCCATTGTCAGTCTCTCGCACGTGGCCTCCAGTTGTCGCGTCTGCCCTCCAGCCAACTGCTGCCGTCATACGGGGTACGTGAGGCCTTGGTTGCATGCCCCAGCTAAATGGGCATTTTAGCGGATCGATGCCCTGGGAAACAAAGAAGAGATGGGCCAACCATCATTGCGATTTTTTCATGCGTATGCCGTGTGCTTATACCTTTCCCGACACGTATATGCAACCCCTGATACATGAGATTGAATGTCCACACCACCATGTGTGCCAATACCCGTACATGCACCTCACCCGGGTATATATATATATATATATAGATATATATATATATGTATGTGTATATATATATATGTGTGTATGTTTGCGTGTATATGTATAGATGTACAGAAGACTTGAAGCTCGCTGCGCTTCGCTGTAAAGTCTTGCTCTAGTGCACTGTGTGCGAGGCGAGGGGGCGGAGGACACACGGGCGTATGGGGCCGAAGCGCAGCTACGTGTGGAGGCAAGGGGGGCTGCGAGAAGTGGCAAAGCACGCGGGGTGGTGGAAGGGGTGTGCGCGGTTCGACAACGGCGGCGACGCCAAGTTCGTCGTCGTCGTCGTCGTCGTCACCGTCGTCGAACCCATGGTGGTCGCTGGCTCGTCGACGAGCGCTCGTGGTCGTCGGGGCTTGTCGAGGCCACGGATGTGGTCTGGGACGCTGCACGCGAGTTCCAAGTGCCAGAGAAGCCTTGGGGCCCTTGGGGCCCCCGCGGGCGGGCCAGAGAGAGCCTCGGGGACCCCCAAGGCTTTCCAGATTCTCTCGAATGGCCTTCGGCCCATCCCACCACCGTGCCGAGGTTGTGGGTATGAGGCCTCTTGGATGTTCGGTAGGATCTCTTGGTCGGCTTTTCGGGGGTCTTTTTGGAGCAGCTTGGAAGCCTCTTGGGGGTGTTTTGGGCCCTCTCGGGGCGTCTTGGGGGCCTCTCGGGGGCCCTCTTGGGGGCCTCTTGGGGCCTCTTGGAAGCCTCTCCGGGCCTCTTGGAGGCCGCTTGGGGTGGAAGGGTGGCATTTTCGGTTCGGGCTGCCCCTTCTCGGGCCCGTTTTGCGGCGTCTTGGGGCTCTCTTGGGCCGTCTTGGGCGCCTCTTGGGCCGTCTTGGGAGACTCCTGGGCCGTCTTGGGGGCCCCTTGGGAGCTTCTGGAGCCGTTTTGGGGCGGGCTTGGGGGCCTCTTGGGCCGTCTTCCACGCCGTGATGGCCGAAAAGTCGTAGTTTCTATTTTTTGGTTTTCCTGTACGAATTTGACGATGCTGGCCTCTTGGGTGGGATGTCTTGGAGGCCTCTTGGGCCATCTTGGAGCCATCTTGGGAGTCTTGGAGCGATTTTTGGGCGTCTCGGGGCCCTCGTGGACCGTCTCCGACGCCTCTTGGAGCATTCTCGGTCCGTTCTGGGGCCCCCGGGGACGGCCCAGGAGAACCTCGGGGACCCCTGGGGCCTTCCAGATTCTATGGGTGGTGGTGGTGGCCCATCCCTGTCGGCTTCCTGGTGTTAGATAAAACATATATGTATGTGTGTATATATATATATATATATAGATGTTTAGGTGTGTGTGTGTGTGTTCATACGCATGGGCCATTACTTTACACATCGCGCACCTGCTCCTTGCGTGTGCCCACAGTGGGCCCACTCCCGATAACTCCACCTGTCAGACGCAGCTTGCTCCTGCAGCGTTCTCCAGTGCTCCCCCCCTCCCCGCCCGAGGCTCTCTTTGGTCCTGCATCGGCTGTCCCCTGCCCTCCCATCGCCTGTTACAGTGCAAGGGCCTGTTGGGTAGAGTCATGGCGCGGAACTCGTGCCGATCGAAGGGGGGAGATAGGGAAAGGGGGGGAGGTACGAAGTCTGCTGCATGCAGCTGGTTTCGGCCCCGCCGCCGGGCCCATTCCTCGATACACGGGCGCCTCCCGGCGCCGGGAGGCGCTGGGAAAATCAGCTACGTGAGCTGATTCTCTACCCTACACCTTGGGCGATGCTTAAGAAAACCTAAGTTTTCGTCCAGAGTCTCGATGATTCTTAATTTTTCAATGTAAATCCGAAGATTTTGATAGAAGTTCTGGGTTTTATTCAATTTCTGAGACTATGAATTTCTTAACCCATGATTTCTTAAGCATTTCGCAGGGTGTATACCTTTGCTGTCCCCCCCTTCCGTGCCCCCCGAGGAGCGAAGGGCCCCTTTGGGCCCCGGAAATGGGCTCCGGCTCTCGGGGCCGCTCCTCGGAGCCCCAGGTCGGGCAAAACCCACTCGCGGCCGAGGCCTGCCGTGGCCTGGAGCGACCTTTGCGTTCCCTGTCTGGCGCTCCTTCTTCCCTAAGGGCTTGTCGACTTTTCGCCAATCGACTTGTGAGAATCGAGCCAGATAAACCCAGGTAAATGCAGATAAATCGAGGTAAATCCAGGTAAATCTAGATACATCTGGGTAAATCCAGGTAAATCCAGAGATCTCCAGGGAAAGTTCGAGCACTTCGCGGCCGCTCCAGCGCGAGTCGAAGGACGGCAGAAGTCGTTAAGCCTTTAACGACTTCTGGCAGCGCCGTGGCTCTAGAACGTGACGTGCCGCCTGATGTTTGCGCACGCGTCGGGCACGGTTCGCGTGCGCGCGCTCTCTGCAAAAGTCGATGGTGCGAGTGTGTGTGTGTGTGTGTGGGTGTGTGTTCGTTTGCGCCGATGCGCGCTTCAAGCGCGTGCTTACGCAGGACGGCAGGGTGCTCTTTCCATGTTTGTGTGCTTACATTCTGCGGCGTGTCTGGACAGAGGCACGCGCGCCCAGCTCAGTAGGACAGGTTGATGTCAGAAGGGGTAGGTCAGGTCGGACATCTCTTCGGAGGCGGGGTCCGGCGGAGCGCACCGTGGATCTGGCAGAAGTGTGCCAGGTTTTGTGAGTTTGCTCGAGCCTTCTTGTGACAGAGAAGCAGCGCCCATGACAAGTCGAGCCCAGTAGCAACTGCCATTCGGAGGCACGTTGCGCACAGCATCCAACGTGGCAGCCAATACGACGGCGCCCCCTGCCTCGATCGAATGCCATGGAGACGGGCGGCCGGCCTGCGATCTCCGAGTCCTCCGAGGTGAGCCCGAGTTGATCGACAGGGCCATGACTGGCAGGGGCATCACCGGCGGGGCCTACCTCAGCAGCAGGCCTGACACGGGCAGGGCCATGTCGGTCTGCGGCTTGCAGGAGGACGCCCACTGGGAGAACGGCAGCGGTAGCGCTGTTGTCGCTCCAGTTTTGTTTTGCGCGGGCTGGGGAGGAGGGACGAAAGGCAAGATCGGTGGGACGAGGATACGGGGGAGGACAGAGAGAGGTCCAGACAGTGCAAGGGAGAAGTATGGAGAGACAGAGATAGATGTGCGACGACGATGGCGATGATTGCGGTGGTGATCGTGGTTGTGATGACGATGATGATGGTTATGATAATGGCAATGGTGATGGTGATGGTAATGGTGATGGTGAGGGTGATGATCCCCCCTCGGCGGGCGGCGTGTGTCGCACAGCCCCCGCTCTGGGCAGGGGGAGGCACCCAAGCCCGCGATGCAACCTGGACCCGCACGACAACTGGGAGCACCAGGGCAACCAAGAGCCGAACGGGGACAACGGCACCCCTTAGGCAAGCCTAAAGGGCCGCTGCCCGCCCAGGAGGCACCACGGGTTTAGGCCCCACCCCTACCCCCCGCGTCCGAAGCAGCGCCCTCGCCCCGCTCGCCGGACGCCGCGGCCTCGCGCCGCTCTCGGGAGCGGCTCCGCGGCCGCCCTCGGCCCGCCAGGCGGGCGGGCTCCCCCAGCACCGCGCTCCTAGTTGGGTGGAGCCCTCGTCGGAGACGGCGCAGCCCCTCCATCTGGCGCTCCGACGCTCGGCGCAGGCAGGGCTCGGTCAGCCCCATGACGCGCGCTGAGATGACATTGACAACAGGATGAGGAACGAGAGGGATCTATAGTAATCTGCATCAGAGTGCTGTCGATGGGCTCACGCTGACAGCCCGACCCACGTCTCCCTGGAACTTTACAGTACGGGGGAATCTATGTGATTGTATGCGGTGGTCGCCATAACATAATGTCAAGCGTCAGTGTGAGTCTTCAGGTATGCCCAACATACGCTTGGAACTGAAGGATACCATTATACGATGCATCACCACCAACGTTGGTTGAATACCTCTACTTGCTATCATACCCTGAGGTCAATGCGCGACGCACAAGCGCGAAGGCACACCAAGCAACGCATTGGCTGCAATTGCCAACTCCTTGAACTGCCAAGAATGATCAAGCAGTATTGCCATGTCACACGGTGAACGTGTAACACGCGACCTTGCGGCCACCACCAACAACATGCGAATATCGACTGCAGTCCCTGCCCCTTGGGCCTGGGCAAATATCGACGTCGCTGTCTCAGCGCTAACGCTTGGGTTTGTACAGATGCCGGCTGGGAAGGCTTCAGCTATTGACAACGAAGCTCGAAAACGAGTCCGTCGTCGAGGGCACTTGCACGCATAGGCCACAATGGGGTGCGTGCAAGCCGACGGAAAACCCTTTGGTTGGCCGACGATCTTATTTGTTTGCCACTCGGTGAACTGCATTGCCTTTTTCTTTCGATGCTTCGCGCAACCCTCGGGAGTACCAACTGTGTATGGAGGTACGCGCTGAGAGAAAGAGAGAGAGAGAGAGACAGAAAGAGAGAGAGAGAGCGAGCAAGAGAGAGAGAGAGAGAGAAAACGAGCAAGAGAGAGAGAGAGAGCAATACAGATAGAGGTATATATATATATATTTGCAGGGAGAGAGAGAGAGAGAGAGAGAGAGAGAGAGAGACAGGGATGATGTAGATAACCCTGATGGGCAGTTCATCGCCGCCTTCATGGTTCTCGGCATTCTCGTTGGCGCTATCGCCAATGAGGAGGCGGGGAAGGAGGGCGATGTGGGAGGGGGATCCTGGTAGCTGCCTGAGCGGCCGCCTGGGGTCGGTCACAGATGTAATGAGGACCTTCGCGGTTCTCAGACCAGTCCAACAGGTCAGAGGGAGGGTCCAAGAGGTCAGAGGGAGGGGGATGCTGATGATGATGAGGGGGATACTGATGAGGAGGCGGAGGAGGTGGAGGAGGAGGAGGAGGCGGAGGAGGATGAGGTGGAGGAGCAGGAGGGGGAGGAGGAGAACGAGGACTGGGAGGCAGATGAAGGCGACCAGAAGAAGGATGGAAGCGAAGAGGCGGATGAGGCCTGGGAGACGCACGCCATCGCAGCCCCGCTGTCCCATTGCTCCCATGGCCGCCGGCCGCACGCTCACCTCACGGCGGAGCCGACGCCGCGGACTCCAGGAAGGAGGAGAGAGGGGAAGGTGAGGAGCAGGAGGCCTCTGCCTCTCCTGCGCGTGGATGGTCGCTGAGGAGGGGGGAGGAGGCCGAGGAGGAGGAAGAGGAGGCACAGGAGGAGGGTGACCAGAAGGAAGCTGGCGACAAATGAGCGGCGTGAGATGGACGAGGTGGAGGAGGGGGAGGATGCGGAGCAGGAGGACAGGGAGGAGGAGGAGGACGACAACGACGACGACGAGGCAGAGAACAAGTGGGACAGGGGCGAGGAGGCCGAGGAGGCGATGTGCCCCCTCGGCGCCCTTCACCCCCAACCCAGGAGAGCGGCGATGCCCTCTTCGAGTTTGACGAGGACGACCCCTTCGAGGTGCCGCTGCACGACGTCACCACCCTCCGCTTTGACGCTAGCCACCTCGTCGGGCGCCGGAGGTGCCGCGGGCTTGTCGGGGGGCAGAAGGAGCAGACCAGTCATCTTCCCTCCGCGCCCATCCTCCTCCTCCTCCTCCTCCTCCTCCTCCTCCTGCCCGTCCTCCGCCCACCTCCTCGTACCCGTCCTCCTCCTGCTCCCACTTCTCCTCTTCCTTCTCCTCCTCCTCCTCCTTTTCCTCTTCCTTCCCCTTCTCCCCCTCCTCTCTCCTCCTCCTCCTCCTCCTCCTCCTCCTCCTCCTCCTCCTCCTCTCCTCCTCCTCCTCCTCCTCCTCCTCCTCCTCCTCCTCCTCTCCTCCTTCTCCTTCTTGTCCCCCTCCTCCTCCTCGTGCTTCTTCTCCTCATCCATTTCCTCCTCCTTCTCCTCTTCCATTCCTCCTCTCCTCCTCCTCCTCCTCTTCCTCCTCCTCCTCCTCCCCCTCCTCCCTCCTCCTCCTCCTCCTCCCCTCCTCCTCCTCCTCCTCCTCCTCCTCCTCCTCCTCCTCCTCCTCCTCCTCCTCCTCCCCCCTCCTTCCTCCTCCTCTTGCTTCTCCCCTCGTCTATCCTGCTTTTCTGGCACGCTAGCTCATCCTCCTTATCATCCCCGTCCCCTTCCTTCGTTCGGGCGGGGCGAGTAGAACGTTTAACATTTACGCTGTGAGTAGTGCTGTCGGGCATGCAGCCTTTTTGAACTCCACCAACTCCCTCTCGGATCCGTTCCGATGCCTCTCCTCCCGTTGCTTCCTTGCTGCTGCTGCTGCTGCTGCTGTTCCTCGTCCTTCTCACTATCCTATGGCTGTTTTCGAATCGCGTGCGGCGTGTTCTTTCATCCCGCAGAGGTCTCCAGAGGTCCTCGGAGGCACCTGGAGGCTGCCGAAGGCAAAAGAAGAGCCTTAACACGTCCATGGTTTCCCCATCTGTATGTGAGCTCGTATGCATGATCCAGCAGGTGGCATGTCAGGTCGAGCTGTTTTGGACTGGCTTTGTTTTTTCCCGAAGCCAGACGACTTACCATGGAGTAGCAACAAGGGCCCTGTGCAACGGATGCTCCTCCCGCTGCACCCAACAGAAGGCGGGCCCAGCATTCCTCGTGCTTGGAGGACGACTTGAACAGAGATGCTGATTTGTTGTACACGGCCATGGACGTTTGCGTCGCGTGTCGCGCCGCTAGTTCTGGCTCGCTAACCATGGCACATCGTGGAACTGCAGATTCTCAAGACGAATGTGCGCGGCGCTATGGCGAGAACCACGTCTTGAAAAGGAACCGCCCTCAATCCGTGACGCGCTTACCTTTTCCAGACTGTGCGCAGCGCTTAGGCACACAAACACATGTTGAAAACGGCCCGCCCTCAAATTGTTAAACTCTGTTGCGTACCTATACGACCGCCCTGCGGGCGATAAGGAGGTTTTGGGGGGATTGAGATCAACTGCCCACCCTGACTGACCTCCAGCCTGTCACCTTGATCTCATCTCTCTCTCTTTCTCTCTCTCTCTCTCTCTATCTCTGTGTCTCTTTCTCTCTCTCTCTCGCCCTCTCTCTCTCCCTCTCTATCAGAGTCTCCCTCCACCACAATGATGATCGCGATGGCGATGCGACACACATAAACAAATATATTGATGGATTGGGTTGTAAGGATTCGATTGGGTGGGATAAGATAAGATGGGACAATCTGGGTTGGATAAGATAAGGTGGATTGGATTGGACAAGATGGATTGGAAACTATGAGCTGGATTGGATGAGAAAGCCCGTCGCAGGCGCCGATAACAATGAATTGATGGATTGGGTTGGGTGGATTAGATTGGATGGGATAAGACGTTTTGGATAAGATAAGATGGGTTGGATCGGAATACATATTTTTGATCAGATAAGATGGATTGGATTTGCCCGCCGCAGGCGCAGAAACACATGAATTGATGTATTGGGTTGGGTGGATTGGATTGGGTGGGATAAGATAAGACCGGACAATATGGGTTGGATAGGATAAGGTGGATTGGATTGGACAAGATGGATTGGATACTATAAGCTGGATGGGATAAGAAAGCCCGCCGCAGGCGCCGAACAAAAATGAAGTATGAAATTAGCGACATGCGTTAGCGCTGGGACGCCCGGGACACCCCGGACACCAGGGACACCGCCCGGCCCGACTGGGACACCTCCTGGCCACCGGCGGACGGGAAACGGACTTTCGCTCCTACTGACACCCGCAACACCCGGGACACCGCCCGGCCAAACTGGGACACCTCCCAGCCACCGGCGGACGGGAACGGACTTTCGCTCCTACTTCGGCCTAGCTACAGGAGGATCACGCGCAGCTTCGCCTCACCCGCACGCACTGCACGAGCACGAAACCGAAACCGATTTCCCGGTGAGGGGTCTCCGTTTCACTGCGATCTCACCCCCTAACCTCCGATTTAGGTCGAGTGCGCGCGGCGTTACAGCGAGAGCCATCCGTTGAAAACGGCCCGCCCTCCATCCGTGAAGCTCTTGCACATGCTTGAGACGAACGTGCGCGGCGCTAAGGCGATAGCCACATTTTGAAGAAGGCCCACCCTGAATTTGCGAGACTCTTGGACATGTGTAAGGCGGATGTGCGCGGCGCTAAGGAGGGAGCCACATGTTGCAATCGACCCGCCTTCAATTCGTCAATTCAATTCGACCCGCCTTCAATTCAATAATTTGCTAAGACGAGTGCACGCGGCGCTGAGGCGAGAGAGCCACATTCTGGAAGCGGCCCTCCTCCTCCTCCTCCTCCTCCTCCTCCTCCGCCTCCGCCTCCACCTCCGCCTCCGCCTCCGCCTCCGCCTTCGCCTCCGCCTCCTCCTCCTCCTCCTCCTCCGCCTCCTCCTCCTCCTCCTCCTCCTCGTCCTCCTCCTCCGCCCTCCATGTGTAACACTGCTGCCAATCCTTACGCTTCAGGATCATCCGTTGTGAGGAAGTCTCGGGCGCGCCCTTCCCACTGGCCTCGGGGTGCGACGGGGCGGAGTTGTCTATCAGGGCAACCCATGGAGGAGGAGGAGGAGGAGGAGGAGGAGGAGGAGGAGGAGGAGGAGGAGGAGGAGGAGGAGGAGGAGGAGGAGGAGGAGGAGAGCCCTGCGCCACCCTCTCGTCGTCGCCCCCCGTCGCGGTTTCTTCCTTTCTTGCTGTCCGTCGTTGTCCTCCTCCTCCTCTTCCGCTGTGGTTCTGCATCCGCACCTCCCTGCCAGGAAGAAGCACTCGCTGATAGCAAAAACAGGGTACACGACCATCGCAGTCAAGGACCTGGCCAGACAGACAAGGTGGCACACGGCCATGAGGAGGAGTACCGCCGACAGTAAACGTTTGTATCACCATGTGTTCGATCGCCTTATCGTTGGAACGGGAAGGGAACAGGAGCAGGGAAAGGTAACCTTGTGGCCATATGCCTGGCAGGCTTGTCTCCACTTGTGCTTTCGATAACGCTGTCCCGAAGATAAGTTTCCCGCATGCGCAGAGGAGGCACCGCCACTCGACAAGGTTCTGTCTGTTATGTTGCCACTTGTGTTGACCACGTGCCCTACGATGCTTTGGACACATCTGAGTGTGTAGCGCTAGTCATCCTTGGTGGTCTTGCGATTTCCTTTGTATTCGCCATACCAGGTATCTGCAATCCGTAGCGCTCGGGCGTCTGCTGTCGATTTCTTTGCAGCTGCCTCTCCGACTTCGACATCTAAATGCTCCATCGAGTTGTGCTGCATGAGGAATCAATTTGTTTGTTGCTCGTTTCTGTTATTTCGCAGACCAAGAAGGGGGGGAGGGGGAGGACGAGAAGGAGGGCGAGGAGGAAAGATGACACGGGGGTCCACGGAGTCTGTGCGTGGGTTGGGAAGGGGGGGGGATCGGGGGCGGGGGGGGGGGTCGCCCAAGACCGTGCCGCAGTGCACCCTGCGCGAAGCGGCCCCTCGCCCCTCTGTCTCTGCTCGTTCTCCGTCCGCCCTTCTCTTCCGCCCCCCTGCTCCTCCTCGTTTCCTTGCTCCTCCTCGCCCTCCTCCACAGCCGGCAGTCACTGCGCTGGCGAAGAGCCCCCCCCCCCCCTCCAAAGAGCTCTCGTCGCGGCCCCGCGCGTGAAGCTGCCGCCGCCGGCACGCCCGGGAGATACGCGAAGGACTGAAAGGCCTCGCTGGTAAGGCAGAACCGTCGCTCCTCTCGATGAGCACTGCGTCCCCTCTCGACGAATGCTATTTCCCCGTCCCTTCCTAGCTAACTATATTTACATATGTATATATGAATATGTGTGTACACACACATGCATATACACATATACGTATATATATACACATGTATATCGATCGATATGCCGACCTTCTTTTGTAAGTATATATAATACTGATGAATATCAGGTCCCCAGCCAAGGGGCCCCGCCCACCTCAAAACCATCGGGCCCCCTTTTTTGATACCCCCGCCCTGGCTCCTCCAAGGGGCCTCCAGACGGCCCAGGAGGCCTCCAGGAGGCCTCCAAAACGGCCCCAGGAAGCACCAAGATGTCCATGAGGGCTCCGAGACGCCACAAGATCGGTCCAAGACGCTCAAGATAGCCCCTAGACGGCCCAAGAGGCTTCCAAGACGCCCCAAGAGGCCTCCAAGAGGCTTGTTCACGAGGGCCACAAGAGGCAAACAATGGTGTTTTTTTATCTAGGGTGTTTGAGGATTGTTTGTGGTTCTCACCTTTTCGGCTTCCCGACGCTCCAAGAGAGCCGAAGAGGCTCCCGAGATCGCCCAAAGACAGCCCAAGAGGCTCCCAAGACGGCCCCAAGACAGCCCGAGAGGTACCCAAGCAGCCCAAGAGACCTCCAAGACGGTCTAAGATAGCCCCAAGACGGCTCTAAGAAGGGGCCCATACAGGGGATCCGAACGGACCTATCGAGCCTTCGGCCCCAAACAGCCCTTAGGAGACTCAAAGAAGCGCCCCGGAGGCCCCCAAGACGCCGCCAGAAGCCCCCGAAGGGCTCCCAAGATGCATGTCACAGGTGCACGACAAACAGATCCCACGGGCCATGCTGGTGCTTTTTCCCCATGTACTGGTCTGTGTGCGCGTGTGTGTGTGTGTGTGTGTGTGTGTGTGTGTGTGTGTGTGTGTGCATACGCCCCCCCGGGGCCCGACCCCCACCGCCAGGACATCTCAGGGTCCATATCCTTCCTCGTCGGAGGCCTCCAGGGGGCTAGGGCGGAAGAAGGGGGCCCTCAGTAGCGGGAGTCGGAGCAGGAGCAGGATCACGAGAGGGATACCGTCCGTCCTCGGAGAAGGGGTCCACGAATCTGACGATACCAGGATCGGCACGTTTGATTATGTTGTTATTTCTGGCTGGGGCAAACTCGGGCGCCTCTGAGAAATTGTGATCCACGTCGCGTGCATAACAGGCATAGGATCTTTCCAACAATTCGTCAATTGATGAGAGTCGTTTTCTGTCGTCACAGTCTGTCTGTTCCTCAGCACCTAGTTCATGACAAACATGCGGCGAATGATTCGCAAATAGACCCTGCAAGTCCCTGACGTATCCGTGGCAGGTAGGTCTTTTTATCACTGGTTTTGAAGGCCCCGTCTTGATGTTTGCCCCAGAGGGTCTGATAGGTGCCCCTTGGGTGGGAACAACGGCCGTGGAACCTCTGATAGAGCCCAGGGTGTCGGATGCCCAAGAGCCTCGTCGGAGCCCTGCTGATGGTAGTGGGATCCTGGTCCTGGTGGATGCGCTAATCGAAGACCGCTGGTGTCACGGGTGGGGCCGCCATAAGAGCTTGGATGGGGTCCCATTGAAAGCTCGAGGGGGCCCGTGGTTGCCACATTGCTGGTTGTGGATGCTCGGGCCAGCCCGAGGTACCAGCAGTATTGTGGCAGCAGAGTAAGTATATCAGTGACTACAGGAGCTAATTCCTTATATCCAATTGTAGTGACTGCCGCTCAGGGAACCCCACAGACCCACTCGCGGCTGCGGAGCTGGGGTGGGGCCCGTTCGTGCTATCTGGCAGCACACCAGGTTTCGCAGGGGGCCCCTCCCTTTGTCCCACACGCGCTGTACAAGGATATGTGAGGCCTATACTTGTATAGTATCTTGGTTGTGTAGTATCAAGGGAAGAGGGGGGAAGAGGAGGAGGGAGGCGGGAGGACTGGAGACCAGAGCGCTCTATTCAGAAGCAAGGCCCACAGCAGGAGGGTTGAGAATGCTTCACCCTTTTGCTTTCATTTTGCTCCTCGAGCCGACAGTTGGCTCCGCTTATTGGCGGTGCACGCGGGCTCGGTCCCAGAGGCCCCCTAGTCCCAAGACAACCCCACAGGCGTCGCTCACGTTGCATCCGTCGGTCATCGGGTCGACGATGGAGGTTCGAGGTGGGCTTTCTCCGATGTACTATTCCCGTTCTGGCCGCGAGCCTGAGAGGTCACGACTACCCCGGTGCTGGCTCCTGCGAGATCTGATGTTTGAATCTTTCTTTAAGGCGAGTGAGCTAGCTTGGGGGGTCACGGCTACTGGCGCTGGCTCGCAGGGCAGGGTTGCGTCGTAGTCATCGTCATCGTCGTAGTCGTCGTTGTCGTCTGTCGTCGTTGACATCTCTGTCGTCCTCGCCCACGCCGCCTCCGTCGTCCATCGGCGTTCGACGGTTCATCGGCGCTCGACGATCGAGGCTCGAGGGTGAGTTCTCAGTCGTTCCATTCACGCTCTGGCCGCGAGCTATTCGTTATCATGCTGCAGCTGCTCCTTCACATCGAGAGGGCCGATGTGTACGAGGGCCAGTGGCTGGATTATATGCCTGGCAGTCCTCAGTGAGTCAGTTATCCACAGCTTTTCCTGCAACCGCTCCCAACCACATTCCGCGGCGCATCCGATGCTCGTGCCAGGGGCCAGGGTAGAACCTAAGCGCGCTCCAAGCGCGCGCGTGGTTTTAGTATACATATATATACATATACAACACATATCTCTCTATCTATCGCTATATACACGCGTAAGCATATCTCTTTGTGTGGTATATATATATATATATTTATATTGGTGTATGTTTTTGTATATAATTGCGAATATACATGTGGGGCTCCCACTGGCGCCGCGCACATGTGCTCAACATCTTGCTATACGTGCAGGGAGGAAGGACGTGCCTCCTTTTCAAAATGGGGTTATCGCTTGAGGCTTCGCTACGCCCGAAGACCAGGGACTTGAATATATATATATATATATATATATATATATAGTAGCTGCGCCGGTAGGAGATCTTTGCTTTTCAATTCTGATGTTTCTTGCTACGGCCTCGAACATCATGACCACATCGGACAAGTGGGGAGGCAGTTGAACTGACGGGATTTTGCGCGTGGGTGTTCTGCCTCAAAGCGGGGATCTCGCTTGACACCTCGTTGGATCGGGTTCTCAGTCATGTTTGCACTGCTCACTATCCGCTCGAAGGGTTCCCGGTGGTGCCTGTTCAAAATCGGGGCTCCCGCCTGAACGGCAGGCCCATGGAACGTTGGTATTTCACGGGGGCGCTTCTTGGAATCAAAGGGCAGGCTGGTAGGGACTTATGGGGAGGAAACTTGGGACGGGAGTTTCTCTGCTGCTGCTGCTGCTGCTCCTCCTCCTCCTCCTCCTGCTCCTCCTCCTCCTCCTCCTCCTCCTCCTCCTCCTCCTCCTCCTCCTCCTCCTCTCCTCCTCCTCCTCCTCCTCCCCACATCCTCCTCCTCCCCAGATCCTCCTCCTCTTCCCCCACCCCTCCTCACCCCCCTCTCTCCTCCTCCTCTCCTCCTCCTCCTCCGCTTCCTCCTCGTCCTCCTCCTCCTCCTCCTCCTCCTCCTCCTCTCCCCTCCTCCTCCTCTCAAACAACGACCCACTGTGAATACGTTTTTTTTTTTTTTTTTTTTTTTTTTTTTTTTTTTTTCTCTCTCTCTCTCTCTCTCTCTCCCCCCCCACTCCACAGCGTCCCACCGTTCACCCGCCCCCTCCGCGTACGGGCTGTCCGCCCTCAGGGTTCCGAGTAGTCATTGCTGGCCTCACACGTGATGTTCTCTGCTTGTACCGCTTGCGGCCGCTCCAGACGGCGCTACCGCCCCAGCGCCTGCCGTCCTTTTATGACCCTCTCCGCGCGCCGCGGGGCTGCAGGGGTGGGGATACGGCACGAGCCCAGCTGGATGGCCACATTCCCTCCTTCCTGGGGGCCGCTTCCAGCGACTTTCTTCTAACTCCGCCTTTGGCCCTACCCCACCTTTTCGCTTCCAAATTACAAGGGACAGCTTTATTTGGGGTCAGGCGATCGCCTGGGGCATCGGGTCCGCCCTCCCCCCCCCCGCATAATAACCCGACCTTGTCGAGTGCGCAGGCCTGATGAGGGTACGCAGTACTGGCGCGCGCGAGCATACCTGGGGCTGCGCAAAGCGAAATGGCTAGGTTATCGGCCGCCCCCCCCCCCGCCTCCACCGGAGAACCCCGGGCCGACGCCAAAAAATGACAACACGATCTCCAACCACTCAGCGTGAGTGCTGCCCTCCTCCTTCTCACACCAGAGAAGAGAGAGCCACCACCAGCAAGAGGGGGGCTGGCTGCTCCCCCGCCCCGAGCTGGTGAAGCCCCCGTTCCGGGCGCGCCCCCAGAGAGGGCCCCCTGGAACGGAGTGCCACCAGCTGGGGGGGGGGGGGACGAGCCTTCGGGAACGGAGTTCTCTGGAGCTCTGGCGGTGGTGGCGGCCCCTCTTGCCCTCCTGACCCTCCCCCGAGGCCCCTGCCGACTCACCAGGCGGTGGGGCCACCTGGAGGGGAGGCCCGCCCCGCCCCCGATTGACGAACGGACAACACGCACCCATACCCATGGGGGGGTCGTTGGGGGGAGGACTGGCCATGGGTATGGGTGCGGGTTGCCGGACCCTGGGGAACGCTCCCGCTCGAGCGGGGACCCCCATCCGACAACACGCACCCATAGCCCTCTCCGACCCCCCTATGGGTATGGGTGTGTGGTGTTGGTTCGTCACCGATGGCAGCGCGCCCCCGTTGGAGCGGCTGCGGCCCGATGCCGCCCCGGCTCGCGGGGTGCCGTGGCAGGCGCGGGCGGCCACCGCGGGGGGCCGACCGCCCCGCGTGGCCAGAGGCCCCCGCCCGACCGCGGGGCCCCGCGCGCCCAGGCCTCTCCCCGCCCGCCTCCCCTCGCCCTCCCCCGCTGCCCTCCTCCTCGCCCTCCCCCCCCCTCCTCGCCTCCTCCTCGCCCTCCCCCCTCGCCTCCTCCTCGCCCTCCCCCCTCGCCTCCTCGCCCCCTCCTCGCCGCCTCCTCCCCGCCCCCGAGGCGGGCTCCTCCCCTCCCCGCCCCCCCACGGGGTGCCGTGCCCGGGCCGTGCTTCGCACCCCGCCCCGGGGCTCCGCGCGCCTCCGGCGGCCAGCCCTCCTCAGGGGCGCGGCCCCGTGCGGGGCACGTCTCCCCGCCGGGGGCGGGCTCCCGCCGCCCTCCGGGCTCTCGGCGGCCCGCCCGCCGCCGCCCTCCCGGCGCACTGTGCACCCACGGGGCGCCTGTCTATTTGCATCAGGAGGGGAAAGAAGCACACAGACACAAGTCACCGTCGATTCCCAGGAAGATGTGGGAAACAATATGGGAAGTGTGGGGGGGAAGACGGGAACCCAGAAAACATGGGAACATGTAGGGAATCTTTTTATGTGTGTGTGTGTGTTTATTTGTGTGTCCTTGGGCCCCTTCATCGTAGGCCTACCGGGTGGGGGTCGGAGCAGATGGGGTCGGGGGATCGCGCCGCATCGCCGATGCAGCGGCGATGCGGCTCGATGTAGGGCCCGAGTTGCTTCACGTTGACGTCGCCAGTGCATCGCCGATGCATCGCCGATGCATTGAGTATGTTTGGGACTCTTATGAGTATTTTTTGGGTATCTCGAAAGTGCAGTAGGGGTCTTGAGGAAGGAACCCTTTTCGTTGGAGAGGGGCTCGGCGTTCCTTGATCGTTCTGCAGTCTGCCTTCAGTCTTCCAGAGGTTTTCCATGGGAGATCGAAGTTTAACTTATGAGTAAAAGGGGCCTCGTTCCTTATTTAGGGTTCCTTAGGTCAAGGCCCCGACTGTAGTCCAAGATAGTCAGGGGGCTATTTTTTGGGGTATGTGTGGGGATCTTTGGGAGTATTTTTGGAGTCTCTTTTTTTTTTCCGTCGAGAAGCCCCCTGCAGGGGCACACGCCCAGACTCAAGTGTAGGCCGAGCCCGCGGGGCACTCCTTCCGTCCGGGCGAGGGTGGGCCGATGGGGGGCTGTGCTCGATGAGCCGCTGCTGATGGCCTGCGTCGGCGGCCAGCGACGGCGACCTGCTCCTCACCGGCCCCCCCCTCCCCTCCTTCGCTGCCCGCGGGTGCGGACTTCGCTGTCGCGATGCCCGCCGCCGCACTCGGGCACCGTCGGGCCCCTACCCCGACGAGAGTACGGGGCGTGAAAACGACCACAGCCACTGCTTTTCTCTTGTTGCCGCCTTCCAGCCCGCAGAAACAAAGCAGTGATTGTGGTCATTTTCGTTGAGCCTGGCACCAGGGAAATGACCACAACCACTGCTTCTTTTTCGGCCGGCTGGAAGGCGGCGCAAACAAGAAGCAGTGGCTGTGGTCATTTTCCCGTCCCGCAGAAAGGCACCCGCTGTCCTCGATGGCGGGAGGGCCTTGGCGTGCCGGGCGCCTCTTCGGGATCCCGTCCCTTGCTGTGCTCTGCCGCGAGCTGCCCGCAGCGGCAGCCGCTGCCAGCGGGGGCGCCCTTCCACAGTGAGGCGGGCCCTCCTTCCTCTTTTCGCACCGGGCTCCTCTGGAGGAGGAGGAGGAGGAGGAGGAGGAGGAGGAGGAGGAGGAGGAGGAGGAGGAGGAGGAGGAGGAGGAGGAGGAGGACGGGGGGAGGAGGAGGAGGAGAGGAGGAGGAGGAGGAGGAGGAGGAGGAGGAGGAGGGAGGAGGGAGGAGGAGGAGGAGGAGGAGGAGGAGGGGGCGGGGGAGGGGGAGGAGGAGGCGGTTGTGCTTCATCCTGCCTTCTTGCCCGTCTTTTTGCGCAACTTCCTTTCCTGGAGGCCCGCCAGCGGTACCGACACCGACTCCCTCCTCCATCGACTCCCTCCTCCATCCAGCCCCTGCACTCCCAGCAGGTGGCGCCTGATGCTCTTCCGTGAGGCCACGTCGGGGATGATGGCGCCGGACGAGGCCCTCTACGGCACCGACCCCAAGGGAGAGCACGGGCCCAACGTCCGCCAGCCGACATTCATCAGGCCTGGCCCGCGGGTTCCTTGTCGTCGTCGTCGTCGTCGTCGTCGTCGTCGTCGTCGTCGTCGTCGTCGTCGTTTTTTCCTGTCGCCGCCGCCGCCGCCGCCGCCGCCGCCGCCGCCGCCGCCGCCGCCGCCGTCGTCGTCGTCGTCGTCGTCGTCGTCGTCGTCGTCGTCGTCGTCGTCGTCGTCGTCGTCGTCGTCCTAGTCCTCTTGAGGTGCAGGGGGGGGCACTGACTGAAGGAATACTCTCCTCCAGCGCAAATGCTAGGAGTGCTGCAAGTGACCGGGCTGGCTGACGAAACCTTCACGCACCGAGACCCTGGGCGAGAGGGCGAAGCTCTGCCGGCCACCCCTCCACGACGCTCCTTGCAGTCTGCTCATTCGGCTGAGGCCCACATCCGCCTGACCCGTGAGAATCGAGGACGCAGGCGGCGCAGGACCGGCCGCTCCCAGGCCGTTTGGCGGAGTGGCGTCTCGCCGGCCGGCGCCCCGCTGCCCCGAGCGCGGCCGCCGCAACCGGGCACCCCCGCGCGGCGAGCACTCGGCGGCCATCGCCCCCGTGGCCGAGGCCGTCGCGCGCCGCGCGGGCCTCGCGCGGCGGAGGTGCGCACTGGGCGTGGGAGCTCGTGGCGCGTCGCGTGTTCCAGCCGGCCCCCCCGAGAGAGCACCCGCCCCGCCCTGCCCCCGGTGGTGCCAGGCAGGACCGAGGGGGTCCGCAGGTGGTCGCGAGGCACTCGCCCGGCCTGTGAGCGCGGCAGCACCTCGAGGGCTCCTGGGGCACGTCTTCGGGGCCTCTTCCGGCCCGGCCTCGCGGCCGTCTCGGCGGGGCCCTGCTGGCCCCTTCGGGGGGGGGCTCTTGGGAGCCCGTCGGAGGTCTCGGAGGCAGCCTCCAGGCCGGCACTGTGTGCAGCGGGAGGACCTCGCACCTCTGTCGGCGGCAGGCGAGGGGCGGAAGTGAGAGGGAGACGGCCTTCTCAGAAGGCGGCGGGACTTCTCAGAAACCCTCGCGCCTCCTGAGGAGACTTCGGT